ACTCCCTGCTCTCCTGTCTCTTTGTTGAGTCTGGCGTGTTTTTGTACCCTAGCAACGTACCTGGATATAATAGCTTTACATTAAAATTCGGAATAAAAAATATCAGAATAAAATAAACCAGAATAACATAAATCAGTAGTAACTGGATAGCTTTGGGCCGGTAGATTTCAACAGTAGAATTTCTATTCCATACCAGCAATAAGTGAGCTCAATTTCTCTTAACATTTTGCAATACTAGCTCACAGTCTCAATTAACCACATTTTTGTTCAAAATGTACAAAAATGAGCAGTAAGAGAGAATTAAAGACTCACCAAATCATGTTTACCACTTTGCTAAGGACTGTGCTTAACTGTGATTACGTATAATTTTCTATTGATTTTGCCTTCATTGCAAAGTAACCTGTAAGCCGAGTATCACATGTTGACAAAGACACTAGATTCAATAAGCTATTTGTTTCCTATCCTTTCATCACACTATAATTAGGTTAAAGGGATAAATCCCACTTCCAACTATTCCTGCCGTTCTTAAAGATACAGTATAGTGTGTAGCAAACATGCAGATTCCCATATATTTTATAATTTAGAAAATAATGTAAAGAAAAAACTAATTTATTCTTAAAGGGTTATTCCAACCACCATGACCAGTTCTAAAAGTGGTCATGGTCGTAGGAATCTGGATGTGCATCGTTTCTGCTTACATTCTAATTTGAGCTTCTGTGCCAGGGTCTAGTTGCACCCCCAGCACATGTGACTTAGGCAACTGGGAATCTGTACAAATACTAGGTTTGTCATCAGCGTATATAGCGCAATGGCAACAGATGTAATGAGCTTCCACTAAGTGCTGCAAGTACCCACGGTATGAGGGAGTTATCTACCAAAAGGCTGAAAGACCTAAATTGGTCTTTCAGCCAAATTTACTAATACTAAGTAAAGATTACTTAGTATTAGTAAATTCAGCCCCTACACATGTCTATTTAACAGTGAGCAGCCAGTGCCCGAATGTCCGAATTGCCCGAAATTCGTCCGAATTCATATTCGGACCGAAATGAATTGCACATGTCTTGTCCTCAATGTGTCTCTGTTTTGATTTTATAATTCCCTCACATGTCCACCCCCTACTGGCTCAGAGTGCATGCATGCACGCTATGAGAAGCATTTGATTGGACCACATAGAGGAAAGAAGTGACTTTAGACGTGGTGTGGAGACCAGCGAGGGAAACATGACGTTGGATTCCATGGAAAGTTTATTTTTTATGTGGTTCTTTAAGAATGCACTGTTGTCCAAGGCGTTCTAATCAGTTAATCAAAGATGTTTGGGATAAAACAAAGTTGAGGAGAGACAGGGGCAACTCTAGTGCCTTTTTGATGATCTAGCCAAGATATTCAGTTCAAGACAGTGAATGCTTCTGTTGAAGGTTGAGTAGGTCCATTGTACAATAGGCTCCTTGGGGTTTTGATACCCAATAAAGCAGCCACATTTAACATCCACATAATCCTTAGATTCAAGAATGTTTTTGTAAACATGAGAACAATATTTTTACTTCTTTGCATTCCTGATGGACCCCACAAGATTATTATTAATATAGATATAGCTAGGATATAGTCTACTTGGCAAGCTGTATCGGTAAAAAGTATTATTAATAACGGCCAATGACAGAACACAAATCCTTGAATGGGTTGTTGACCACCTGCAAATCACTTCATATGATTTGGTTTGTGGATTGATTTTTTTGCTTCCCTCTGCAAAGTGATGAACTGTTAGTTATTGACAAGTCTGACAATGACCAGTATTGATCTGGTATAAATTACTGTCCAGTTTCTCAAGGTATTGCAATATCATTTCAACGTGAATCAGCTTCTCTGATGGCCTACAGATTCCACCCGATTGGGACTTTGCATATTGCTAGAAAAACATGGGCAGAAATACTTGGTGTCATTTCTACCCCAAAGAACATTGAAAAAGAGTGAAGTAAGTAGTTCTGTTCAGAGAAAAGTTGACAGTAAAGAGTAATTTAATTGCTACATAAAATAAATGCTAAATGAGATGATTCTGAGGTAGTTAGGTTGTCGGGGTGAGGGTATGTACTTCCTGACACTAAAATTCCGGCCAACTCTACGCCTACTCCAAACCTAAACATACTGCATGTGATGTATTGATGTAACCTGAGTGTATTGATGTAACCTGAACTTGTGCTACTATAAGGATCAGAATGGATACTTATGGCATTAAATAATAAGGTATAGAGATCATATTTGTCCAAACAATCCTAGGTCAAACTACCTGATACATGTTAAATTATCTTTCTGTCAAAGATTTAAAAAAAAAATGCTCCAAAAAAGACAAGACTCCATGGAGATTTACCAAAGTATCGCCAACACAGTTATATCTAATGGTTGGCTAAAGTTTGGCTCAGTTTATTAAATTTGTTGGGTTTTTCATCTGTATGCACTCTAACCATTAGTCTTTATTATATGCAATTTATTCATCTACGCAACAGATTTTTTAAATTCTTTTTCATTCTATCTTCAAAATTTTCTAATAGAAAAGTATTCTATTTCACTTTTTTTTCCTGCCACTTTTATATTTGGCAGTCTTCTGAAATAGAAAATTTCTTTAAAAACTGTCAGAATTTACCTAGGGCAAACCATCACTTTTAGAATGCTTTATAAAAAAAAAAAAGAACACTTTGATAAATACCCCCACGTTCCCATACAGTAAGCTGTGGACAGAAGCTAAATGTTATGTATTGTGTTTAATCATTATAAATAAATATTCCAGAGTAAAAACAAGCCATTCCCATTCAGGGAGTTAAAGTAAAGTAATGGTGTTTATTAATAAACACCGAATTCTAGTGAGTTTACACCCAGATTGTTAAATGAATACTGGTATTAAAGACTGGTATTAAAGCCAAGGTCTGACAATAGTGGTGATGTTTAAAAAAAAAAAAAAAATTTTAATGTTTGCCTAAATCTTACAATTCACATTTTAATTTGATATAAGTCAAAATTTAGTGAACAGACCCCCAAATGTTTCTTGGTCAGGCATCAAAAGGCCTAGGTTTTTTGTACTGTTAAGACTTAACATTGGGAATATAACTGCCCGTCTTAAATACAGTACAGCCTTTCTACCAGTTCAGAAAGTGAATATTAAGTGCATCATTTCTTATTAATTAGAAATACATTTTCTCCAGGAACATTAAATGGCCTTAGATGAATAAACGTCACCATTGTTTATTCCAGGTCGGTGGACCATCACAAGTTCTGAAAGCAATGAACAAACACTTGTACTGTGTATCAGACCTAATATCCTTAAGATTCAGATCTTTTCCATCACATTCTACCCCAGAATTGCTTGATCAAACTATCCCCATAGCATGTGTCATATCCATAAGAGGGTCCAAAATGATCATTATCTCAACATTAATTGTGTTCAAAAAGATTGGCTTTCCCCAGGTACACCACATGATGGAAATTCTACACAGGATGTTTAACCCCGCCATTTAACTTTTGAAAGAAGTGGTCAAATACAAGATAAGACAAAAGAAGAAAATGAACATGAGACTAAAATAAAAACAGCAATAAATATAAAATAAAATTAAAAAAGAAAGCTAAAAAGCAGCAGCAGAACATACATATAATTCAAAGATATTAACATTTAAAAGAAAATGGACAGCCAAAGTCTGCAAGGCCAACTCCAAAAGATCTTTAACCCATCAAAATTAAGACGGAAAACATTGGTTCAATAAAACCTGAAATGGTACTTTGGTTTTTGATAATTAGTAGAAAGAAGAAGTTTGAAATATTTCTCCTGCATATGTCAGGGCAGATTCAATGGTTTAGATTTGCAAATCAGTGATACAAAAAAAAAATACAGTTTACATATGGCTGGAGACCCAGAATAAAGTGCTACAGTAATGTAATAACGATAAGGTAAATAAAGTCATGGGTCCAGATGGAATACACCCACGGAAAGATATCCCTCGTGTTGCTTCATTACAACTGCTATACTTATCATATAATCTTTGATTAAGCACAGAATTTTCTTGTACATGTTTTACGTAGGGGTCTTTGTCCACAAATACTTAGATCATCATTTATTTTTAAACTTTACATATATCAATGAAAGCACCTTAAACCAATGGTTTTCACAAAGTATGATGTGTCCGCTACGAAGTATGTCACAAGCACACTGATTTTGGGGATGTAAGGTCGAATGCAGTCAGAAAATGTTTTGTTTCTTTTTAATGTTTTAGCATAAATCAGGATTCTCATGGTAATATATTAAAATTAATAAGTTGTTTTGGTTAAAAATATGCATACACCTCCAGCAAGGCTTCAAGTAAATGTGACATTTAGAAACTGCTGATGAAGGTAAAAGCAAAAACACATTAGGCGTACCTTGTATGTTTTTTTCTCTCAATAACGTATTTCTTGGTCAATAAAAGGTTTGGAAGCATGTCCTTAGACTATATTAACCCCTTAAGGTCTGAGGCAGTTGTACAAGTTGTGATCAAAAGGAAACGTAAACAAAACCTTGAATTTGCACATATGTCTGTTCATGAGTAATTCACATCTTTCATATTATGTACACCCACACTTATCATATATAATTTTATTCAGGAGAAACAGGGCTTTCATGTCACATCAAATATTTGTATATTAAAGATAATTTAGAAAGAATAAAATATAAAAAATTGAGAAATTAAGAAATTGTTATTTTTTTTAGTTCTGCATGGCATTTTAACTGTGAATGTCACAATGCTGTTAGCTGTTACTGCAATAAAGTACACATATTTGTATTCAGCGATGTCTCATGGGTAAAACAGTACCCCCAATGTACAGGTTTTGTGGTGTTTTGTAAAGTTACGGGGTCAAATATAGCACATTCATTTTTCAGTTTATACACATTGAGATTTGAAGACTGTTTATGTTGCCTTTGAGAGCGTATGGTAGCCCAGGAATAAAAATTACTCCCATGATGGCCTACCATTTGCAAAAGTACACAGCAGGCCGCGCATCGCCCAGCAAAGAAACAATGGCTGTACCTCCATCATATACTGATCTTGGCAAATCTGCCAGAGATATTTTTGGCAAAGGATTTGGTTTTGGCCTAGTGAAACTCGATGTAAAGACCAAGTCTGCAAGTGGAGTGGAATTTACAACATCTGGATCATCTAACACAGATACCGGCAAAGTAAATGGCAGCCGAGAGACCAAATATAAATGGGGAGAATATGGCCTGACTTTCACAGAAAAGTGGAACACTGACAACACTTTGGGAACAGAAATCACCATTGAAGAACAGATTGCAAAGGGCTTGAAGTTGACATTTGACACAACTTTTTTCCCAAACACTGGGAAAAAGAGTGGTAAAGTTAAGGCTGCTTACAAGCGTGAATATGTAAACTTAGGCTGTGATGTGGTCTTTGATTTTGCTGGCCCTGCTATCCATGGATCTGCAGTTGTGGGTTATGAGGGTTGGCTTGCTGGCTACCAAATGACATTTGATAGTGCCAAATCAAAGCTGACCAAGAATAACTTTGCTGTTGGTTACAAGACAGGAGATTTCCAGCTCCACACCAGCGTCAATGACGGTTCAGAATTTGCAGGATCTATCTACCAGAAGGTTAGCGACAAAATGGAAACCTCAGTCAGCCTTGCCTGGACATCTGGTAACAACAGCACTCGCTTTGGAATTGGAGCCAAATACCAGTTGGACTCAAACGCCTCCATCTCTGCAAAGGTGGATAATTCTAGCCTTGTTGGTGTAGGATACAACCAAACTCTCAGGCCAGGAGTGAAACTCACTCTCGCCACCTTGGTAGACGGAAAGAACAGGACACAAACTTTGCCTGGGTCTAGAATTGGAGGCTTAAGTGTCCATTTGTTCTGTCTGAAATTAGTGCCAAGGGATATACAGGAAAATTGGCCTTACCTACATATTTTGTTGCCAGAACCAGCAAAACTTATATATATATATATATATATATATATGTACCTCCCTCTTTTTTTTCCCACCCTTACGAATTGTCATTGTTATCATAGGAAAGGAGCTGTATTGAGGTAGATATCCCATCTGATATGGATGAGCCTAGTTATCCCTCCTGGTTGGGATCCTACCATGAAGCACTCCCTTACACATTTATTAAAATGTGTACAGCTCTTATTATATTTAGTAGTGCTTCCCACCACAGGTGAAATAAACCTCTCCTATTAAAAACACAAATGTACATGTTTTGCCTGTCAGTTTTTTATGTTCCTTTTAACATTTGAAAATGCCAACTCTGAAGCAAGCAACAAACGTAGGTCTCTTCAGCCAGAGGGACTGAAGTTTTGTAGAAGTCAACTTTATTTTGTGAGGGTTTTTGATATACATAAAGTAAGAATTATGAATAAAAACAAAAAAATAAAAAAAGTATCACAACAATTATATCGTCAGTGAAAGTACAGTTTGTGTGTAAAAAAATGCAATAAACTGTATTTTTACTGACGATATCATTGTTGTGATATGTTTTACTTTTTTTAAACACTAATATTTGTGTCCAGTGAAGTCTCCAGAGTAAAATAGTACCCCTCATGTACAGGTTTTATGGTATCCTGGAAAGTTACAAGGTTAAATATAGAGCTTGCGAGCCAAATTCTCTGGACTTTCTGCCTGGGTTGTCGGGCAGGTCCCTCACAGGTCCCTCATACTGTAATTAATAAAATGACCTTATCATGCAAAAATATTATATAAATATATTTGTAGAATTTAAATCTATTTCATATTCTATTGAAATTCCTATAAATAGGACTGAAAAGTTGATCGTGATTTTAAAGTTTTGAAATAAAGATTGGACATTTTAACATCAGCTCCACCACGCAGGCTCGCTGCCTAGGTGTTTTCTTTGACTCCGACCTCTCCTTCAAGCCTCATGTTCATTCTATCGTCAAATCCTGCCGTTTCCATCTCAAAAACATTGCGCGTATCCGCCCCTACTTAATGCCTGATGCAACTAAGGTGCTGGTCCATTCCACTGTCCTTTCTCGCCTTGACTACTGTAATCTGCTTCTCAGTGGTCTTACGTGCTCCCAACTTGCACCTTTACAGTCCATAATGAATTTGGTGGCGAGGCTCATCTTCCTGTCCGCCCGCACCTCCCACGCCGCACCCTTCTGTCAGTCCCTACGTTGGCTTCCTATAAGATATTGAGCTCAATTTAAAATTCTTGCTTTCAAATCTCTACATATAATCTCCCACCTATCTATCCTCCCTTATACACAAGTATGTCCTGTCTAGGCCCTTACGATCTGCTGAAGACTTATGTCTACCTTCTGTCCGTACTCCCACCTCTGATGCTCACCTTCAAGATTTCTCGAGGGCTGCACCGTTTCTGTGGAACTCGCTTCCCTCCTCCATTAGATGCTCACCCATTCTCCAGTCCTTCAAAAAATCGTTAAAAACCCACTTCTTCATAAAAGCGAATCAATTAAACTGTTAATAGCTCCCAACTGAGTCCTCTTCTGCAACTGTCACTAGTCTAATACTATCCTTTGCTTTTTGTGTCATGTTACCCCACTCCCTCTAGCATGTAAGCTCATTGAGCAGGGCCCTCAACCCCTCTGTTCCTGTGTATCCAATATGTCTGGTTACAACTACATGTCTGTTCGTCCACCCATTAAAAAACGCTACAGAATTTGATGGCGCTATATAAATAACATAATAAGAATGATAATAATAACCCCGTGAGTGCTGCTACCTCTTTGGATAAATATATATATATATAGATTCATATATGTATTTATAACATCATTCTAAATGTATTTTGAATTTAATATATATGTATATTAATATCAAAATACAGTAAGAACAAATTAAAACTGGCATATATTTTTTTTTAAATGTATTTCTATTTTTTTTTATATTTTTTTAAATGTATTTAATGATTATTTTTATTTTATATATATGTAATTGCTCAATAAAGCAACATATGAAATTTACCTTGAAAGACTCCTGAGTGCTCTCTACTGGTATCTTATACAATTTGGTTGGAGACAGCACCGGAGCATTAAAAGACCGGGAGCATTGAGTGCTGGGACCTATATATATATATATATATATATATATATATATATATATATAATCTAAGTACTTTTTATTTAATTTAGGCACTGCATAAGCCAGCTATTCCGAACATGTGATTGCGAGAACCCCGCGATCACATGGCCGGGGGGGGCGGATCGTGCAGAGGGGGTCTGCCTGGGAGCTCATGATCGCGACCGCCGGAGCGGCGCCCCGGTTAGTGCCCTGGACGGCGGGGACGTTCTATGCCAGCATTTAGGACCGCCCCAATAAGGACGGCATAGCACGCCCGCCGTCCTTAAGGGATAATAAAGTACATTTACTGAAAATGTTCCAGAATGATTAACAAATATTGACTCATAACTCATTAACTCTGCTTGAGGTTTTAGAGTTATAGCAAAGATATTAAATAGTAACATATCAGAATATAGGACATTCTTAATGTTAAAATAATTAATATACAGTGGGACCTCGGAACTGGGAAGCTCCATTACCCAAACAATTCGGTATTCAAACATAAAATTCCAGAATTTTTTTTTTCGGTACCTGAACAAACTCACACGCCATTAACCTCGGAACCAAGATACAGTGAACAGAGCTCCATTCTGTCAGCAAACAGAGATGACGGGTAAAATGAAAAACATTTTTTTTTTTAAATTCTTTATTTTTGTGTGCAGTTATTGACAGTACAGCTTGCTAAGCCCAATTTTAAATGTATAACAGGCAATTTCCTAAGTACAACATTACAGTGTTATATAGGATCAGTCTGTCTAGGTGCGAGGAGAAGGTGATGGTAACAGCTATGACTCTACACTATGGACTGATAGCGAGTGAACTATAGCGTAACTTCCTCACGGGTTGGGATGGGCAAACTGTGACTTTTTACGAGAATGGTAGATAGGGCTGGCTAGTATGATTACACTTCTGTGGTATCTCTGGGAAGGTTGTTCAGTTGTGCGTTCCCTGAGTGTAGTATCTATGGTTTGTTTGCCCGATTAGCCCGATCCCGTTGGATAGAGGTGTAGTGTAAAACATCATGCTTTTATTAGGATAAGGGAGCATTTGCCAAGTGGCCCAAGATGTGGGTTGTGCGCTCACTAGCGTATGCTGAGAACCGTGACAGTGGGGTGTATTTGTTGTATTGTTGATATTTGAATGCAGGGGTGTATTTGTTTGTGTTGGTGTTTGAATGCAGGTGTGTCGATTTAAACATTTACTCTGAATTTACCCTTATCATCTACAGAACAAATACATAATTAATGGGTGCAAATACAGCTCTCCTTGGCACTGACTGTATATTTAGACCTGATTAATATGATAAACAAAAATTCTCCATCCACTGCTTAAAGGAAATATTGTTTGACATATGTCTCTGTATGTTTGTTTTGCACACATTCGCTTCTGATACGTGTGTATTCCTTGTATGTGGAATGAGAAACGCATATAACTATGAGCAAATAGAATAAATAAAGGGGCTCTTTTAATTTGTTTGACAACATAATTCTGAAAAAAAAATGGTACCAACTCCACCAAAGAGTCAGTTTGATCCCTGGACACTCAAGCTGGTGGACATTACAAGCCAATAAGTCTACGCTGTAAAATGCATTTACTAATGTGTAATATCCAATACCAAATAAAATCATAGGTTTTGTTCATACATCCATACTGGTTTTTCCTTAAATCCATATGTCTATGAGCAGCTAACTGTTTTCAAAGGAAGTGTTGTGAGATTATGATCATGGCGAAAAAAATGTCCCCTTTAAGAACCGTAACACCTTAAAACAAAAATAGTTCCAACTGATACTGTTGCAAACCAATTAAATGTATGATTGGTATTGCTAATTCCTAATAGCCGCACCCCATCTACAAATACAAACTGGGCCAAATATCTCGTGTAAGGCTGATAATTACATACGCATATAAGGCTGGCAAACTAATGTATGCACAACGCTGCCAAGTGACGACACCATCATTTTATTTAGATAAACACTAACGCAGCCAGCACAAGGCTGGTAATTAAAGTGTATGTATGGTATTAGTGACTGTGTTTGTAGACACTCACTAAGATAAAGGCATCAGCATAGCTCTAGTAATTACATAGTACTCTTCATTTAATTATTTATTACACCATTCATATTCATCACTCATGCATTTACTCTTCAGGTATATAAACCATTATTGCAAGTGCCTTTTAAAAACCATCAAAGCTAGAGACTGGAGGAAGTGTCTTTATAGCCACAGAGTAATAGTCCCAAATGAGATAGGGGTGTCGCCTAGAATCAGGGAAGATGTAGCCAGCAACACCTGGATTTCTGGAGGTTGCGTTCTCATGATCTAGATACAAAACCCATTGTGTCAATATGGAGCTCACACACCATGGTTCACTATGAATATTCCCAACATAGGCATATAGACACCACCAAGTGCCAGTGACTGTTTGTCTGCTCATGCCATGTAAAGAGGAGACACATCCATAGATGAGTTCAAAAGTAGGAACGTACTGCCTTGATTCCTGCCTTTAGTTAAAAAAGAAATGGTAATTATTGCTATTGCCCTGATTTACAAACATGTCGTACACATGCTCCATACAATTTATATATTTTATCATACAATTTATGTGCCACGTTACAGTTTTGACAGCAACTATTGTTTCTTTCATTTGAATAATTATGCTATTAACTATATGACAGATAACATATATTATTGTGTGGGTTACGCAATATGACCAAATGGTAAACAGCAGGCATCAGAAAGGACTACACAATGTATCTTTCCCATTTAACTAATAGGATTTATGGCACTCCATCACTGGTGCAACCTCAACTACGTCTCACGTGAGAAACTAGACTATATCACTCTCATACGACAGAGAAAAAATGCAGCTCGAAGCCTCTCTATATAACATGAAAAACAGAGATTTATATTCTGTTGCTTGATTTGATTGGTTAGTATAAAGGCTTCATGTTTCACAGTTAAGGCAGCACTTACACCGTTTGGGGACTTAGCATAATTTGCAAAGACCCTTGGCAGTGACATCGCCATTTGGGGTCCGGTGGCCACAGGGGCAGGCAAAGGTGAGTTTTAATTACCTGAACATGTTCCTCATGGGTGTTGCCATTATTTTCTAGTTGGTCCTCATCTGCTCATGAGCCAACAACTGCCGGGAGCAAACGTCACTGCTACAGAGTTTTATGGAGGATCCCATGAGAACCTCCATAGATAGAGCTTATTTCCTTGCAGCTATCACTGGTGATGGCTAGGGGGGTTTACATTTCTTGACGAGATAGATCCGCCTAGTGTCAAGAAGTGTCATGCAC